GAAAGATCGAAGTGGGTCTAGAATGATGATAATGAATTGGACTGTATTATTCAGCAATTGATAGAGATTGAAAGAAAACTCATAACGATGCCCATTAGTAGCGACAGATCAAGAGACAACAATCTATCATAGATTTTGTGCCATCCTTCATCGAATGGAAGGTTGATACTCACAAAAGAATGGCGTCGCTTATCACCTAGTTTCTCTCTCTTTCCCTCCCTGTCTGTCTTTCTATTTGTCATCATCACTGTCTTTTTCTCGCTCTCTCTTAGACTATCGCGAACAAATAGGCTTCGAAGAAATTGGATAAGTGGCCTGGGAAATGGTGCTAAATGGACGCTGAAGTAGCGACAGCTGGATAAGTGTACATCTGAGAAATGACAGGCCTTTGGCTTGAGTGGGAAGTGGACATTAGACGACCAGAGACGTTGCCGGCAGCGGCGTAGCTGTTCGAGATCTAGTGGCCATGTCGCAAAGTATTAGTTTTAATGTATAAAACAAAGTTGAAGGAAGAGAGACTGGATAGAAGGAAAGCAAGAAGAAAGGCAAAGCATGAAATAATGGAAAATGTGATAAACTTCATCATATTTTGACTGCCTCCATAGTGATTTAAATAAAACCCTTTCTTTGGGTTCAGAATATGACAAGAGGGATTCGGATGATCTAACGGCTAATGTCAGGAGAACAGAATCAATAAAACGCGTTTAGACCCCAACTAGTGGCAGTCTGCGTTTATTTTTGCACTATTACCTTCGGAAAAGGCATAAAACTACATATTCTTCTTCCCGTAGAGTCCGGTAGAACAGGGGGTTACTGAATAATCCCGCTAGATGCTGTTCCTACGGTCAACGCAGACAAAAAGCGACGACTCCAACTCCAGTTTTTGGAATTGTGAGATGTCTCTCTTTGAGACTGGTTGCCGAACAAGAATAGCGAGCGTAGTCGATTAAATCCATACTAGCTGGGGAAGAAATGGATTCATGACTTTTCCAAGGGTATTTGGGCGAGGCTTAACGCAACGGCCTTGGTCGAATTTGACCCATCTCATTTTCCATGTCGATAGTCACTACGACAAGCGCAAGTCTACTTCTCAAATAGATGTGGATAAATTGCAAGACAGTAAAGACATTTTATCTTGGTAAAAGTAATCGATCTTGGACATTCGATCAAAGGTCAGATCATAGATCATTTCTTGCTACTAGTGTCATGTAAGCCAATACAACCTGTCACATAAAGAAACAGGCAGCGCCAAGTAACCCTACCCTCCTTGAGAGATATCATAGAAGTGAATTGCGCTTTTAAGCTACATCGAATCTAATAAACATACAAATCCATACTGACAATTACGGGGTGATTGAAAAGTAACTCTCTATTTTTAAATACTTATAATTTATTTATTAGTTATAATTTGTACAAGAAATGGATATGAGAGGAAAGCGTTTAGCATGAGGTTTTATTTAAAATTCGATATAGGCACCAATTTTCGCTATCAGCTTCTCGAGCCGATCAGGAATCGCATCAACCAGGAACTCTTGTAGTATGGAAGATATAACTTCTTGTATTGATCCTTCAAGTACTTCCAAAGTCTTAGTTTGTAAATAGTAGACTTGCTCCTTTAAAGAACCCCAAAGAAAAAATTCACAGAGTGTTAAGTCAGGCTCCTGGTTGACCACTCTTACATAAAATAAGGAGTAACTTTTCAATCATCCTGTAGATTAAATTAGAATTACTGTGATCGTTTCCCGTCAAGGTTTACCATCGACGTAATAGTTTTGTGAAACTACAGTCTGAACAAGTAAAGCAGTTGTTAAAAAATTGATTATTTCTACATCCTTTTTTTAAAATATCATTTATCGTTGTATAAAAGTAAAGAAAATTTTCGATATACTGATTGATTTGTTTTTACGGCCTATCAAACCTTTTGTAGGTAATGTAAAGCCAAAAATTTTTTTAGTGGAAATGATAATAATTTACTGACTCAAATCCTACTAATTAACCCATAGCTGGAGGAAGAAAAGGTGGATTCATACATTTCCCAACGGTACTTCCACATAAGTGATTTGATTGATTGATTGATTGATTGATTGATTGATTGATTGATTTGTGTTTTACGTCCTATCAACCTTTTGCAGGTTATTTAAACCCAGAAAATACTTTTAGATAATAAGAATCTTTTTCTTTTTTTAAATAATACAAATTTATGGATACAAGTCCTAATTATTAATCGATAGCTAGTTGGGGGAACAGATGGATTCATACCTTTCCCAAGGATATTTGAGAATAAGAAAATATAACACACCAGACTGGAATTAGAACATGGCTCTCCGAATTCCATTTCTGAACCATTATCCATTACACCAGAGGTTTACAAAACCTGGTATTCCCAAGCGGTAACCTATCTAGGTATTGACCAGGTTTGACATTGCTTAAATTCGGTGATTGTGCGTGAACCGGTGTTTCAGCGTGATGTTAGCCGATTACACCACTCGCACATCGAAGCTTACTGCATCTGGTATCCCCAAAAGGTCACACATCTTAGTACTGACCAAGTTTGACGTTGCTTAACTTCTGTGATCTTGCGTGAACCGGTGTTTCAACGTGATGTTAGCCCATTACACCACTCGCACATCGAAGCGTACTGCCAGTATTAATGAAAGCTCTGATATCAATACCTTATCAAGAATAGACCTGTTAATTCATAATTTGATAATATTAAAAGAGTAAGTTATAGAAAGCCGTGATCGCCTACATCATGAAGGGACATGGCATATGTACACAAACCATCATAAATGTATTTCTACAGACTGAGTGGATGGGAATAACATAGACTGGCCATATGAGTAATGAGAAAGTTTTAATAAATAAAAAAATGACATTTATATTTAAAATCTCAATGAAGAATTGACATTTTTAGCGCGCACTGAGGAAAGAGGGTCTCACAGAATGTAACGTTCACAAAACATATTGAACGTAAGACAGACAGGGTGGGGACAGCGTGTAACTTAATTGCAGATGTTTGTGTTAATAGAAAACAGAGAGCAGACAAAGAGAGATGGTAAAGACTCAAAAGTTGCTTAGAGCTACAAGGGACAGGAAGTCGTGGAGAACCATGATCGTACATGAGTTTAGGTGAATGGATGGCGGAGAAAGGATCAATAGGGATGGTACAGAGTCAAATATTGCTTAGTCAAGGGACCGGTTGCTGTGGAGAGCCATGATATTCCATGTTTGTGTGAATGGATGGTAAAGTAGGGATAAATAGGTATGGTAAAGTCAAACGTTGCTTGGAGCTATAAAGGGTAGGAAGTTGTGGAGAGTCATCAACGTCCATGAGTTTGTGTAAATGGATGGTAGGGTAGGGATAAAGAGATGATAAAGTGAAACGTTGCTTGGAGCTATAAGCGATAGAAAGTCGTGGAGAACCACGATTGCCTATGAGTTTATATGATTGGACGACGGAGAAAGGATAAATAGGGATGTTACAAAGTTAATCATTGCCTAGTGAAGGGACAGGAAGCTGTGGAGAGCCATGACCATCCATGTGGATGGTAAAGTAGAGACAAAGAAGTATGATAAAGTAAACGTTGCTTGGAGCTATAATAGGCAAGAAGCCGTGGAGAGCCATGATCACATCAGTTTATATGAATGGATGGCGGTGAAAGGATAAATAGTGATGGTAATGAGTCAAACGTTGCTTAGTGCTACAAGAGAAAGGAAGATGTGGAGAGTCATGATCGCCCATGAGTTTGAATACATTGCATAGTAGAGATAGAGAGATATGATAAAAATCATTGTTACCTTGAGCTACAAGGAACAGGAAGTTGTGGAGAGGGATGATCGCCCATGCGTTTTGTGCGAATAGAAAGTATGGTAAAGAGTCAGACGTTGCTTAGATCTACTGGGAAAAGATGTCGTGGAGAACCATAATCGTTCACGGCAGATAGAAAAAGGACTAATATATAATGCTGAACGTTGACAGGAGTTAAAAAAATTGCTGAATGTTCAAAAACTTGTCTCAAGTTTCGTTTTTTTTTTTTCCTTTATTATTTAAAAAAAAAAATTCTTTTCTGTTAATGCTCCACCGTGTATTATTTCGTATTGTTCCATATATTGTTGCTGTCTGCCTGCACGCAATAAGACAGCTGTCATTGTTGCTTGGTAATCTTCAAGAGATCTGAAAATCATGACAGAAAATGGTAATGATGACAGGATAAATGCGTCAGCATATTTGCGTCGCGCACGTGACTCTCTTTGCAGAAGTTTCCTCATCGACATAGATCTATAGAAAGAAAGAAAACAAAATAAACTGAAAAAAGAAATTCTGTAATAGGAAACTCCAGCTGATTCAATGTAGCAGAAAACCTCACCGTTGAGACAACGATTGTTCATATTTCTCCTTATTAATAGAAAGTAGGAATAATTTAGTGACATTGGGTTCGTTACACGGACTTTCCTCTTTCAATTTTCTTATAAAAGTTTTCAGAACAATCCAGTACACATTCAGAACACTTTAGGCGAGTGTACTTTTCTTTTTAGAAATTTAGATATCTACCATATATATATATATATATATATATAAATATATATATATATATATGTGTGTGTGTGTGTGTGTGTGTGTGTGTGTGTGTGTGTGTACACCTAGTGAGCCAGACAAACCTACCTAGGTTTCACCTAAACGGATCGTCAGGGAAAGTAAGGCCTTGTAGGTTTGTCTGGCTCACTAGGTGTATCTAGGTCTGCTCTACGGTTGTATTGAGCGCTTTTGTTAGTTAGTTGTTTAGTCGTATCGGGGTTTTTTTTTGGGCTTCAGACATGCATCTGTGCGAGTTTCTTGTCGGCAGAAGTTCATGTTTGTAGTTCTTTCTTTTTTTTAAAACCTTTTTTCCCCTCGAGATTGATTTGATTATTAGCAAATCAAAAACTCGAGGGTTTTTTCTAAACGAGTCTAGTTATCTCTCTCTGTCTCTCTGTCTCTGTCTCTCTCTCTCTCTCTCTCTCTCTATATATATATATATATATATATATATATGTTTGTTTATATATTCTTTTTATTGATACAAATATTTAAGTAAATGTTCTGTTTATAATAAACAATATTAAACAACATTTACCGGCCTGAATGTCCAAGAAATTTTCACATAAAATATTCGTCCTCCGAGGAAAATTATTTTAGACGATTGATGGTTAAATAACTCTTCTCGCGGGTCATAGTGAGTACGTCATGGTTTGCAAGTATGTCCCTCTTGATCAGTTACGACTAAATAGTGAGTTCGTTCCTCACACAGTGACCCATATATTCGGCCTAGTGCCACATCCAACCTACTCATAGTAAAACGCCTGTAATAGTTCGAAAGCTTGTCTCGCAAGATCAATTGCGACTGAATAGTGATTTTGATCATTACTAAGTGCTCCATATTTTGGGCCTTGTGCCACATCTAAGATACTCTTAGTAAATCAACTGGCCACTTCGACGTGGTGTAATGGTTAGCAAGCTTGTCTCGCTAGATCAATTGCGACTGAATAATGAGATTCATCCTCACTAGGTGCTCCATACTTAAGGCCTTGTGTCACATCTAAGCTAATCTTAGGAAATCACCTGGGCATTTCGACGTAGTGTAATGGTTAGCAAGCTTGGCTCGCTATGTTATTTACGGTATAATAGTGAGTTCTTTCCTCACCGAGTGCCCCATACATTCAGTCTTGTACCACATCTATACTACTCTTAGAAAATCACCATGACATTTCCATGTGGTGTAATTCTTAGCAAGGGTGCCTCGCTAGACCAGTTACGATCGAATAGTAAGTTTGATCCTTACTGGGTGCACTATATCTTCGGCTTTGTGCCACGTGTAAGCTACGTTTAGAAAATAACCATAGTGCGTCCGTATTTTCCACGGTGTCCTATTAGAGTGGCCTTGAGTCAGACTTATGTAACCTTAGTAAAAAAAGTCAAAGACTACTTTTTTTTTTACGAATCAGGTAAGATCTTGTTTGCTTCTTCAATTTTTCTCGCATTTTCTATCCACTTATAGCCATTTCCTCACCTCATGTTTAAGTGCCTGATGATGCAGATCATTTAGGCTTCGCTTCTTGGTCTTGCGTGAAAGTGACAATACGTAATTCGTCTGGGCACTTTGGGTCAATCTAGCGACAATAACTCACCATTAAACTTGAAAAGTTGTTTTATTCTTTTGTCATGCTGACCATCCGTCCGAAGTGTTATATATATATATATATATATATATATATATATATATATATATATATATATATATATATATATATATATATATCGAGCTGGGTTATTTTTTTCCGAATTTCTGGGATGACGAATTACCATTATTCGCATTCGGAGTAAAATAAATAAAATTCCCATTAGGGTTTAGAGGCACCAAATGTACTGCAGCTATAACAGTAATTGTGTGTCTTGGGCAAGATGGCATGAGGGAAATTAACTGTTTCCAGAATAGTTTAAATTAAGAGTTTTCCTTCTTCTAGGCTGGTTTCCAACCAAAGCTATGTGGCTCAGTATGTGCTGATATTTATTCAAATTGAGGGTAGAAAAGACGGGATAATAACTTTTCCAAGGGTATTTGGACGTAAATGAATCTAACGAACTCGACTGGAATTCGAACATTCATTATTTTTCTTCTTATTTCTAACAGCATTTCGGTAGTTGCGATTTCCGGCCTTCTTCGGATTTCTTCCGATCTAGTTAGGAAATTACGAATTGAATCTTTTGTTTAATCTACCAGGGCAGATCCTCCTCGATCTGCTGTTTATTTATAAAGATATCACGCCTTGTTCTTTTTAGTTCATCTCTGTTACTACCAGCCTTGATTCCATTGAAAATAAATATGTAGTACTTAGATCAAGGATTGAACTCACAATTGCCATTCCACCAAGTTCATGAACGAACGCTTTCACGTATAATGTAAATACAGGTATACATCACCCTATGTTATTAATTGGTTCCAGAGGTCATGACTTAGGTCAAAAAATGACTAATGTCGAAATAACCCCAATATAAAACGCAAATAAGCACTCCCCATTGTATATTACATTATTTATGATATGTACGTACAGATAATAATAAAAATATTTAATTTATCAGCGGTATAGTCTCACAATATAGCTTTAAAGACCGCTAAAAAAGTCACAGATGTTTTCATATTGCGTTCTCTAAGCTATATTAACATTTACTGTAAATGTACGTATTTTAATATGATTTTATAAAATTTTATTCTTATTTATTGTACAGTAAAATGATTTTATGCAGTTTTAACGCTTTTCTTGTGATATTACAACTTCAATATTTGTGGTGGACAGACGTAAAGTCGAATAAAATGACGTAAACTTCATTTTTATTTTTCCATATATTTTTTGACAAACGTAGTATAATCGAGAACGACTTAACTTGAAACGACGTAACCCGAGGTGTGCCAGTAATATAAACAATACCACAGTGATGTTCTCAAACAAAAAAATGTTCTTTCAAATTTATTATTCAAAGCTAAGAAATATAAAGATTTATGGGAATTGAAAGTTCAGGAAGTCAAAAAATGGAAAGATGGTTTGGAAAATTTAACACTCACA